GCGATGAAATGTTTTCAATAATGTTCGATCTCTAACTTATCGGGAGTTACAGTAATGGAAGTTCGACCGAAATGACGTGTTAAGGCCATGAAAAGGCAAATTTTACTTACTTTCCCTTTAGTGGTTCCAAAATTAATTTGGACGTGGTTGTTTCAGTAAAAACACATATCTTCCCATACGAATAGGTTTGTATTCACTTCTATTATTCTTTTTTATCAACATGTTCACGTTAATGAAAAGAAAACGAAAATGAACTTGTAAGGTCTGGAAAACCTCTGCCAAACTAAAGAATATTTGGCCTTTCTGTGAGCCATGTGGTTTTTAAGTATGCTAATGTATGGCCTATAGAATGAGTACAAAGACCTTAGGAATAAGTCGCGCAAGCGCAAGAAAAAGGGATGACTTGGGTGGGACGCGTTACCGCGTCACAATGTCCCACGAGGTGCGCAAAGTGGGACGCGTTACCGCGTCACGCTGTCGTCAACGTGTTAAAGAGATTCTCCTCCATATTCCTTGGCCTTTTTCCTGCCGGAGGTTTTCCTACCCTCATAGTGTTCCGATGACGCTTAGAATATGTGTATGAAATGGTCGATCTGTTAGAAGCATGCCATGCTGGCGAAACCACTCCTTCACAGTGGAGGTGCGATGCTTTTGGTTCGCTCGCATTGCTAGAAGACGAAGACATTAGGGTGCAGTTGCACCCTATGGATACGGCAGCCGGCTTCGTAGAACATAAATGTATTAGCGTCCGCTTTCACCAGTTCTAGAATATTGTGAATTTGTCCGATCTCGCTGAATTTTAGTAGATGGAAACGGGTTTACACACACCAAAACTGGAGATCCCACATTGCTCTAAGGTCATCTGGAGCGACGAGAGTAAATTGAGGATGTTTGACGGCGGCGGCGGTAGGCACGTGTGGGGTCCTGATTTAAAACGTTTCGATCCAAAGTATCATCCGCCATCTTTGAATCAGGCTTAGGATCGATTAAGATAGGGTAGAAGGAGCTGTATCGCTGCATAGGATTTAGGAAGAGGTGAATGATGACGCAACCAGATAGATTCCTGAAAAGTTTCGTATCCATACGTATGGCAACTGCGCCGAAACATGCTCAACCTTCTCTATCATGCGGTCGATTGTTTTGTTGAATTGTAAGCTTTTTACAATAAATTGAAATTTACTTGGAATTCGGTCATACTCGAGAATTTCTAGTGAAATGGTTTTTTCTTTCTGAATTCTTTCTCCCATTCAACACTAATACACTTGTTTAGTGGAGAAGGTCTGCCTCTAAAAGATATCAACTGGTTTGGTTTAGCAGAAAATAGTTACAGCCGAAACAATATTCCACCGAAGGCTTTTGAGCACTGCTCTATGTATTACGAAACCGACGAGTGAAAATCATCCAAATTCATCCCTCCACTACTGGACAGCGACATGTGATCTAGCGCAGTTGAGCCTATTTTCAGACGATTGGGTGGGGGATGAACCTGTAATCTCTAAGAAGTTTGCTCATGGTCAGCATAGCTCAGTCTTGGCCCAGCTTTCGTTGAATTTCTCTTCTCTGGATTTGTCGGAGCATCCAAAGAACGCAGCAGCAAACGTAATGAGACCATCGCTGGATCGTAAGAGTGATTTTGCGGGAGGATTCAACTTCATTAATTTTGTGGCCTAGAGTTGGCGTAGAGTGAGCGTACGTTGTGATTTTGTGGGGCGCACCTTCAAAATTATGCTCCACTCCTTTCTTAAAGGTCTCGTTTATTGTCGTAGTGCTCTGTTACTTCTACTCGTAGTGTTACAGTAATCCTGGCATACCTACATAGCTATGGTTTTCGTTGCGCTCCCCACGGCCGCAGACCCTAGCGAATCGCGCGAATCGCAAGTAGCGAATCGCGCGATTTGCAAAGTCTGACATCGGCCTAACATGGCTGCAGTTCTCGTCAGCCGTCAAGCGCATACAAAACCAACATCTGGCTTTTACCACGACGGAGAGGAAGGAACGCAACTCAAAAAATACTTCTCCGTACGTCAAATACTGCTGCTCCCTTTGCTGAATCAGAGAATTCAACAGTGAGCGGATTTTACAGGATGTCGTGTGAACGTGCACCGGCCTTCAATTAATTTTTTTGTAAAACCATGGAAAAGGGCGGAAGTGGTGTAGTGGCAAGTGGCACGCTTACCACGCGAGCGGTCCGGGGATCAAATCCTGGGTCGTGAGTCGCCCGGGCCAACCAAGCCTTCCATCCCTCCGGGGTCGGTTAATTGGTACCAGACTTGTCTGGGAGGATAAAAACACTGACTTGTACATCGGCTGGCCCCCGCAAGTCATTGTATAGGCCACATCGCATTCAAACGCCACTACGAATGTACAAATGGAAGTAGAATGCGTGCCGCATCCCAAAAGGGATTGATCAACGGCAAATGCTTTATCCTTTATCCTTATTAAAAAGATGGAAAAAGGTGCTAATGAGTTGAACGCCCTACACGGGTTAGATTCTTTTGTATGCGGCTTACCAGTAGTCTTTAGCTTGAATTCAAAGTGCCTAATGATGTTGAGAAGTTAAACAGTTCCTGAGTGAAATTCTAAAATCTTTGGAGCGGCACTGCTGATGCTAGCACAGTTTAACAGTCTTTAATAGCTGCGACTATGTGGAAAATATAGGTGAATGATTCGATCAACACCATCGTTCGATCTCAACAACATAATGTTTAGTGGACTGCTACATATGCCAAGACACTCCAACGACGACGACGACAACAACAACAACAACAACGACAACGACATCGACAACAACAACCAAACCCACAACAACAACAACAGCAAAAATCACTTACCAGCAATGCCGCATATGTTCGGAGTCGCCAACAACAACAGCTCCAACTACAACTTCTCCTGCTATCACCTCGACATCAGAACACGTAACAACACCTAGCACAACAACAACGACAACGAAACCACCAACAGCTAGCACAACAACGACAACGAAGGCAACAACAACAAGTGGAACAATCACTTACCAGCAATGCCACATCTGTTCTACTACACCATCAACAACAGCTCCAACTACTACTTCTCCTGCTATCACCTCGACATCAGAACACGTAACAACACCTAGCACAACAACAACGACAACGAAGGCAACAACGCCAACAACAACCACGACAACAACAACAACAACAACAACAACAACAACAACAACAACAACAACAACAACAACAACAACAACAGCACAACAACAACAACAACAACAACAACAACAACAACAATGACGACGACAACAACAACATTAACAACAATGAAATCGACAACAACGACAAGCAAGAACGCAAACCAACAGTGCCACGTCTGTGCTCTTTCTTCAACTACTACTTCTCCTGCTATCACCTCGACATCACAAGGCGTAGCAATACCTAGCAACGACCTAGCAGCAACAACGACAACGGAGGCAACAACGCCAACAACAACCACGACAACAACAACAACAACAACAACAACAACAACAACAACAACAACAACAACAACAACAACAACAACAACAACAACAACAACAACAACAACAACAACAACAACAACAACAACAACAACAACAACAACAACAACAACAACAACAACAACAACAAGAACAACAACGCCAACAACAACAACGACACAACAACAACAACAACAACGCCAACAACAACAACAACAACAACAACAACAACAACAACAACAACAACAACAACAACAACAACAACAACAACAACAACAACAACAACAACAACAACAACAACGCCAACAACAATTAACGACGACAACAACAACACCAACAACAACGAAATTGGCAACAACGACTAGTAAGATTGTATACCAGCAATGCACGGTTTGCACTGTTACACCAACAACAACAGCGTCTTCAACTACTACTTCTTCTGCAATCCCCTCCACTTCAGATCACGTCACAACACGTAGCACAACAACAACGACAACGGAGACAACAACAGCAAGCAACCGCGACAACAGCAAAATCAACAGCAACAGCTAGCACAACAATACCAACGAAAGGCATTAATGCTAGCAACAACCACGACTTCAACAACAACACCCCACAACAACGGCTAGCACAACAACGGCAGCGAAGGCAACAACGCCAACAACGACCACGACTTCAACAACAACAACATCCACAACAACGGCTAGCAAGGCAACAACGCCAACAACAACCACGACTCCGACAACAACACTCAAATCCACAAATCAACAGCTAGCACAACAACGACAACGAAGGCAACAATAACGCCTAGCACAACAACATCAATGAAGACAACAACGCCAACAGCAAGCACCGCAGTGACAGCAAAATCAACAACAACAGCTGGCACAACAACAACAACAATGAAGGCAACAACGCCAACAACGACCACGACTTCAACAACAACATCCACAACAACGGCTAGCACAACAACGGCAGCGAAGGCAACAACGCCAACAACGACCACGACTTTCAACAACAACATCCACAACAACGGCTAGCACAACAACGGCAGCGAAGGCAACAACGCCAACAACATCTACGCCCCCAATGACAACAACCAAATCTACGACACTGAGAACGACCGATAAGATTACCTATCCGGTTTCCACGACGACATCTGATTCAGCCAGTACATCTGGTGCCACTTCATCATGCGACGTCGGAACAGTTCCACTCAAGTTATCTTCACGCGCAACATCTCGTAGAAAACCACAACTACGAAAAAACGACCACCGACACCACAGTGTAACAACACGCCATGTTTCCACATCACCTGAGAGGACATCTCACACGACAACAATCAAAACCACTGAAACTACCAGTAGCGCTGAAACTACTTTTGGTGTTCACACAACACCTAGTTCAACTGCCGCTCCAGGTACTACCAGGGCGAAAACAACACTCACCACCGATGTTAATATAACCACCTTCACACCCGACACCCGATCTGAAAACCGCTTCCACTACTGATACCAGTGACATCATCACTTCCATGACAGCTAGAACTTCCGCTACGGATGCCACAAAGACAGTCACTACTGTAGAAACTACGACCAAATCTTCAAGTGAAACGGCAGAGATTACAAGCATTTCTACAAGTCCAGCCCCTACTGAAACAACAACAGACAGCATCACAACGACGGTTTCCACTCTCGGAATTACAACGACTGCCAGCACTGCAGCAATAAAGACCACTCCTTCTTCAGACACTAAAGAAACTAAGAGCACTGCAACAAAGGTTTTCACCAGTCATGCCGAAAAAACCGGCACTACAGAAACACCAACCACTTCTTCAACAGAGACTGCAAGGACAACCACCACAGTGAGAACAACGACCAAAACCCCTACTGAAACCTCAAGCATTTCCACTACTGCTACCGAAACACTAAGCAAAACACCCACAGAAGTCACGAGAAGTTACGAAGCGTAGATACAACAACAGTCCAACCTTCCCCGGACCGCACAACAGCGACTAGTACTGGTAAATCAATAACAACGCCTGACGCTAACGTTTCAATAACAGACGGCACAAGTAAGATCACCTCCGTCACTGATAGAACCAGCACGGCTGCAACAACCACCTTTCCAACCACTGAGGACGCAAAAAAGACAGACAACAGAACAACCAAATCCGTCACTGACACTGCGGGAACCACCTCAACGATAACATAACGACAAAACTCACTGAAGGTACAACAACCGCCGGTTCATCTGCTCTTCCAACCGAAAGCCACTACTGATGCCCTAATGACGACTGTAGAGATTACTGAAGCAACCACATCCTCTGTTGATAGTACAACGACGACTGGAATTATAACTTCAACTACGACAGGAACAAGAACAACTTCCGCCCTCAAGACGACAGCAAGTGCCTCAACATTCACTCGTTCATCAACGTCAACCGCATTCACTGAGAAGACAACTTCTGACATCTTGTCGTCAGCTCCTACAGCCCTTCCTGAATCAACAGCGACACCATTTACCAGTTCCATCTTTTCGTCTAGCTCTTCAACTCATTTCACTAA